ACAGATGGGCAGAACCTTCTAGGAAAGGGATTTTGGTCTGAGGGATGACCAGTGACAAGGATGTTGAAGTAATTTCAAAGTTTCTGGTTACTCCAGTGAAAGCAGCTGTTGCTCAGTCAGCAGGCAATATAATTAGGCATTTGTGTGTCCCTGTGCCCTTTCAGGGACTGAGCAGGTGTAGCTGTGAGGTGTCAAAGTGTAGCTGTTGAGATGGCACATCACTCCCTCTGTTCTTGTTTTCTGGTCCTAGGAAATATGGTACCAGTTCCAAGAGCAGGCACGTGTTGGCTGTACCGGGGACCAGTGCTCCCTCTACATTATTCTCATGAGCTACACCTTCTGATGGGATTCTGCATCTTGTTATGGGGATTATTAACTCAGAATTTTGAATAATCTGTATAGTAAACAAGTGCTCAAGTGTTTTCAGACCTGCACTATTTCTTGCTCATTTTCTCTTCCTTGTTCTTGCTGATGAGTGCTTTAGTTCCCACGTTAAAAGAGGAGTAGTGCCAGCAAGAGGCTGTGTGGCTTTGGGGAGCTGCCCAGAGGTGGGCAGGCTGTTAAGGGTTTCACAGCTGGGAGGTTGGGAGTGTAGCAGGAACGTGCCAGCCATTGGACAGACACCCCAGCTTTGGGATGCACAACTTAATGTGCAGTTCCATTTGTGTCTCCATCGCTGTTCCCTCCCTGCACACCCCCCAGATATAAAGGTGTTTCCTAATTCTGTACAGGATCAGCAGATGCACTCTACCTCCTGTGAAATGTAATCACTACTGAAAAGGAAATACCACTGTAATAGAGCAACAAGATGTCAGTGACTTCTCCTCAGCTGTCTCCACTTTGTGGGGGTACCCGTGTAGTTCTGTCTAGTACAGCATACTGCTGGACACTGCTGCCTTCCTGCTGCTTACTGTCCAAAATATTGTGGAAACTGCAGTGATTTTGAAGGGGGTGTGGCTATAGTTTCAGAAATGTGTTTTGTTGTGGTTTTTTTCTTCTCACAGAAAACTAATAAGAAACTTGCTGCCTCAGGAGACCAAGTCAAGTGAATTTCTAAGAGGCTGGGCGCTGTTGTATAGCAATATTTAGAGTCTCATGCTTAGGGGAAATTGGCTGTAAGGATGAGGAAGCAGAGCTATGTATCTGCAGTGGTTTTGGCTGGATTTTGCATCCCATTGCTTTCCATTGAAGCATTAAATAGTGACTGCTGCTGGAGACAGGATATTAAACTTGGTACAATCACATGTGTGTTTTGTAGAGCTTTTGATTCTCAAGAAGTGAATGAGCTCCCTTATAAAACTTCTGTTCTAATCCTTGCAATTTAATAATATCATTAAAATGCTGTATGATGTATATGCAATTTCTAGTCTTGACTTGCAAAGGCAAGTTTAAACCTGCTCATAAGTTCTTCCTGCTGTGCTTAGGAGCTGGCAGACAAGGTAAAATGCTTTGTCAGCAAAGCAAAACAAATAATTAGAACTAAACTTTTGTTGCACTAGGAAGAAACCACTGTGTTCTTGCCACCTCAATTCATGAATTTCATATAGACAGGCTTCAGTGTTTGTGGAATTACAATTTGGAATTAGTCTTTCAGACTCTGTAAGATGGTGAGTCCTGCTTTTTCTTTCTTTTTTTTTTTTTTTTTTTTTTTTTTTTTTTTTTTTCCTTATTACTTTTCTCTTTTTTCTTTTTTTTTTTGGTAGTTTTCATTCTCATATACCCATCTTTATCTTGTTATGACTTCATACCATGCTAAAAGGTTGCAGTTCTCTTCACACTGTCACTTTGTTTTTTTTCCAGGAAAGAAGCTGGTGTTGGGGCTTGAAAGGAGCTGTAGAATACATAGGAGACATTGAAACTACCTAGTATGAGGGCAAGTGTGAGCAGAGATAGCAGAGAACCTGCTGAAGTGCATGCTTGCAGGGTCAGAGCACAGCAGCTGCATCCCTGAGACTGCCTCTGTACTAATTGAAAAGATAAGACAGACGCAGGCCAGGGACAGCATTCTCTGGCTTCTGCTGCCAGGTGGCAGGATACAGCTCATGTCCACAATGGCTAAGCTGTCAGGCTTCTGCCAAAACCCAGGTGCCCCATCCAGCCTGCCTGCTGGGAATGGTTCTGGCACTTGCTTCATCCTGCATAATCCAGGAGAGCAAGAAGTGGCCTGAGCCAAAGGCCTGAAATGTGCTAATTGTTAAACATTTTGGCCCGTTCTGGAATATCTGCTTTAACCTTGTCTTATTTAGTAGCTGTTTAGCCCAGTTTATGCAAGCTTCCTCACAGATAAATTTGAGTTTTAAACACAGAGCCATAGAAATGTTGGTTGGGAGTTCTGGAAGGTATCTAGTTCAACTTCCTGGAAGGAACAGAATGTGGCTGGTCCAGAATTAAGGAATCCTGAAGGCAGCTGAAGAGATTTTAATAGTTCTATCTCATGAGCAATGTAAATTAATTTTTTATTTTTCTTGCTTTCAGTGGGGCTGGGCAGAACCCTTTGTCAAGTCCTAAATGCTGGGTTGTGTATCCCTGACAAGTGCAGTGTGTCATCAATCCCAGACAAACTTTTTGCCTGGGTAAGTGTTAGGAGCACTTGTCTTTGCAGTGCTGCAGGCAGGATAGTGGCAGCGCTGCGTCCTCTGGGCTTGATCCAGCTGTTCTTGATCTCTCCTCAGTTAGTTAATTACATGCAATATTTCTGCCTCTGCTGTGTCACGGTTTGGGGGGTACTCCCCAGTTTAGTGCTCCCACAGAAACTCTCCAAAGCATGCTGCCACTCATTCACTCTCCCTCCCTCCTGCAGTGCTCTGGAGAGGAGAATAGGAGACACAAAAGGTGAAGATCGTGGGTTCAGATAAGAACAAATTACTGGAAATAGCAGTGAGATAAGAAGAAGAACAGTAAGGGCAACAATATTCATGACAGAGAGTACAAGAAAATGAATGTTATTGCTCACTGTGGAAACCCACAGTAGACAACACCAGCTCTCTCTGGTTTGGAATTGGAGCCATAAGGAACTTCTACTCCCCAGAAAAGACTTCCTTCCCCCTGCCCCCAGTAAACGTGAGGTGCTACAGAATAACCTTGGTGTCCTGGCCATGCCCCCGCCAGGCTACTAAAAAAAATTAACCCTGTCCTGGCTGGAACCAGGACATGCTGGTAAATTTCTGCTTGAAGACTTAGCTTTATAATATTCTACTTGACCTCAGGAATATATTAGGCATTTCACTTCTTCATTTTGATATCACAGAATAATTTAGGTTGGAAAATACCTCAAAGATCGTTGAGTCCAACCATTAACTTGACCAGTCCACCACTAAACAATGTACCCAAGTGCCACATCTACATGTCTTTTAAATACATCCAGGAATGGTGACTTCTTTGGGCAGCCCATTCCCATGCTTGACCACGCTTGTGTTGAAGAAATCTTTCTCAATACCCAATCTAAACCTCCCTGGCATAGCTTGAGGCCATTTCCTCTTCTCCTGTCACTTGTTACCTGGAAGAAGAGGCCACCCCCAGCTGGCTAAAAAGTCCTTTCAGGGAGTTTTAGAGAGTGATGTGGTCCTCCCCAAGTCTCCTTTTCTCCAGACTGAACAGTCCCAGCTCCTTCAGCTGCTCCTCATATGAGCCACTTTCTAGACCTTCCCCAGCTTCATTGCCCTTCTTTGGATTCATGCCCAACTTTCTGTCATCTGCAAACTGGCTGAGGGGATGGACACTTGATCCTCTTGTCCAGATCACTGATAAAGATATTTAAACAGGACTGGCCTCAGCTGAGCCCTGGGAAACACTACTAGTGACCAGCCACCAACTGGATTTCATTCCATTCCCCAGCACTCTCTGGACCATCCAGCCAGCCAGTTTTACACCCATCCAAGATGTAAGGAGTCAGTTTCTCCAGACTGAACAGTCCCAGCTCGCTCAGCTGCTCCTCATATGAGCCACTTTCTAGACCTTCCCCAGCTTCATTGCCCTTCTTTGGATTCATGCCCAACTTTCTGTCATCTGCAAACTGGCTGAGGGGATGGACACTTGATCCTCTTGTCCAGATCACTGATAAAGATATTTAAACAGGACTGGCCTCAGCTGAGCCCTGGGAAACACTACTAGTGACCAGCCACCAACTGGATTTCATTCCATTCCCCAGCACTCTCTGGACCATCCAGCCAGCCAGTTTTACACCCATCCAAGATGTAAGGAGTCAGTTTCTCCATGAGGATGCTGTGGGAAACATTGTCGAAGGCTTTAGTAAAGTCCAGGTAGACAACATCCACAGCCTTTGCCTCTACCACAAGGCAGGTCACCTTGTAATAGGAGGAGATGAGCTTAGTCAAGGGTGACCTACCTTTCATAAACCTGTGGTAGTTTGGAGAGGAGAATGTTTGGGAGACATTTGGTGTCTTTAACTGCTATGGGTAACTTCAGAAATCCAGGTGTTTATTGAGCACAAATTCATATATGGTCTTTGTGCCTTCACTGTCTTTTATCTGTTGGTAATATTGGAATTATCAGATTAAATTTTTAAAGGGTGCTATGAGCACTGGTTACATCACTTATATTTAGCATTGGGAACTATAGTCTTTAAGATGATTTCTTCTTAATTTCATCCCTGATTGTGAACTTTTCTTCCTCCTGTGGCAGCCAAAGGAGGGACCAGGTCCATCATTGTTTTCTTTGTTTGAAATTTCACGACATAACCTGGAAGATAGGGATGCTGTTGACATAGTGGGAAAAATACTCCCTGAAAGCAATATGTTACAGATTATTCTAATGAAATAATCACCTCCATACGTGTCAAGTTAGTGTAGGACTTCAGATTTTTTTTCTTCTTTATGGCTTCACTCTCCTAATTAGTCAAGTGTAATTTCATATTAAATGATTATTCAGGACTAGAAGTGGCAATTTACTGCTATTTTGAAATAAAAATTTCTTTGGAGTTTATGATTGCATATTCTGCAGCTGGATGTTTCAGTGCCTCATTGCCTCTGTTCCTGCTACAGGTACATGTGACAGCATTGCAGCAATGAGTGGAATTTTAAAGAGGAAGTTTGAAGAAGTTGATGGCTCTTCACCTTGTTCCTCTGTGAGGGAATCTGATGATGACATTTCCAGCAGTGAAAGTGCTGACAGTGGTGATAGTGTCAATCCATCCACTTCTAATCATTTTACCCGTAAGTACTAACTCTCTGTAACCAAAAAATTATTCCTGTTTCTCAAAATAAAATAAATGTTGTGGTTAGATAAGCATGATGATTTTTAATTGAACAGATCATAAAACAGTCTCTCCATGATGTTCAGTTTATGACTTGCTCAAAAATACTTAGTAAAATACTCTTACATTCTTTTGACTTCTTGTCTGTTAGACTGTTGTAAAAGTTTGAAGTCTCTTGGAAGCTCCTATCTACTTGCTATTTGAATTATGTAGCTGTTTCTAGTTAATGTTAGGAGTTGTGTTCCAAATAGTTCAAACAGGTACTGTAGGGAAAGTGCTTTAGCTCAGTTTATTTTCCTTAGCTAAATGTATTGCAGCTGTCAGCTCTCTGTAATACAGTATTGGTGAGAGTTCTTCTCTAAAAACAATATAAGCTTTTTTTTATTTGGAACTGATGGATGTTGTGTAGACATTATTTCAATAGTTTCTATTTTTCAGGTACCAGAGGATATTTCTGTACTTTGCAATGGTTTTGTGTACAAATAAGAATTTGGTCTTAAGTTAGCAAAGCTGCATTTGCAGCATATATTTCTGGGAAGGATAAATTTACAGTTTAGGATACTTGTTTTAGGTGGTTATATTATTTATTAATAGTGAACTGCATCTTCTAAAAAGCAGGGGTTTGCCTCCTTCAACTCTGTTGCATTTAGATCTCCTCTATGGAGTTATTCCTTAAAACTGTGTGCCAAGGAGTAGGTGAGGCTCCTCATTGCTGCCCATACAGTGTGTTCCATGTAACTGAGTGGTGTGGATGTGCCTAGAAATCATGTTTGTAGCATGCGATGTGAATGTTCTTATAACTGACTTTCCTTCCAGATGCTGCTGTTCAGTTTGAACAGGTGTTTGGATGTGAGGGTCTGAATCCTCTTTGCTCTGGTAGGGAATGTTCCTGTGCACAGGAGGGACAGGCACGACTTTTGAAAGGGGTTTACATGGAGCACTCTTGAGGTGCTGTATGATATTTAAGATGCAGTACTAGTTGGGGACCTATTTTATTGAAGTGACACAAAGGAGTAAGTGACCCAGTAAACCTCTTTGGTAGTATTTAGAAATCTAAATCTAGATTAGTATTTAGAAAATTGTCTTGGGGACAATATTATCTGCATGCTGGTACTTTAACATTTACATCTGTTGAAGAAGTTAGTTGATTATTCATCATAGACTGAAAACAGGCTTTATACATCAAACAGTCATTCCCACCCACGCAGAAGACCACAATTTTATTGTGAATATTTGCACAGGTGATACAATGAAAGGGAACGATTCAGGGGACAGACTTGGAAGTTGTAGTATATGCATAGGCTTTAATTGTAGTTGACATAATAAACAGTTTAGTTTAAAGGAACTTCCCTTTCTGTAAGAGAAACTACAGTATTTCAGTGTTATGTTTAATGATTTATCTAGCTGAAATATTTCTGGCCAGAGTAATAAATGTTCATCTGTGTGTGCACTCACACACATACAGAAATTGTACCTATTGCATTTTTTAAAAAATACATTTGGATATATCCACTGGTGATATAGAAATAGAAAGAGTAAGTAGTCTATGTGTGTATTGATAGTATTTTTTTAAAAGTATTGTCTTTAATATAGATGCACTGGCCTAAATTCCAAGAAATCAAATACAGAACCCCTGTATTACTTAAGAGCTATTGCATGATACTCACCTGAAAATTACATGCACATGTAATGTATACTAGCAAAACTGGTAACAGTGTACATTGGAAGGTATTTTGTTCATGCTTTAAACTCATTCATCTTCCACAGTAAAAGACAAGAGGTGAGCTTTTCTAAGTAGAATATTTGAATCTAAATGTAAGGTTGAGTTCTGTGAGACTTTTTTCAGTGAGCAGACTGAAAAGAGCCAGTGCAGAAAAAAGGCTGTCGAGATTCCTTGCCTCTGTTACATGCCTGAATACCTTCTTGGTGGAGGTTATCTTCCTAAGCTATTTCCTGACATGTTATACCATTTTCTGTTGTGTTTAGTGGGACACTGTCAGATCCTGTGTACAGTGTTTTTTCTGGTCTGTTTTCATATAGTCGAATACGAAGTTGACTATAAACTATCTTTTACTGACTGGAAAAGGGGGGGAGAGGGTTGTGTGACCTGTAGCCAACATCAAGATCTGTATATTAATTCTTAAACTGAGAATTTAAAAAAAAATGCTAACACGGTCCTCTAAGTCTTATGTTTTCTTTCTAATTGACCTGACAAAGGGGTAATTCTAAATTGCTTGTAACTACAATCTCTTCAGCACTTAGGAAGCAGGCATTTTGTATATAAATCCATCTAGCACAGCTGATGCATCTCTGTATTTACACAGCCCTTGAAACCATATGTATTGGGTCAGATAAACAGGAGCCTAGCAAGAATTCTGCTCAATTAGTCTTACAGTCAGTTTAACCTACCAGCTAAATGAGGCACGCAGCTGCTGTGGATCATTCAGGTGGGCAGAGCTACCAGAAGATAACTTTGTTCTCAGCAATTAACCCTGTAGTGTGATGGCAAAAAACACATGACTGAGATGGCCCTAAGTGCTATTGCTTGTGACTGTTACACAGGGATAAACACAGAGTTTCTTTAACAATATATCTATTTAAACAAATAAAGACAGCAACAAGAAGAAATTAATAAATCCCTCGCCTAGGTTGCAGGCGACTGAGTCAGTAAATAAAAATTACAGTCCATAAAGAATAGACAAATTTTACCATTAGCATTTTCTTTATAAGGTGTGTGTATTTTTACAGATGTGCACATTTTTAAGTCTCTTAGCAAATGGTGATGGAGTGCCTTCATTACTACTGGCAGATATAGTCCCTGTTGTGTATTTTACTTACCCTTCTCAGTCTATTGAAGCAATTTCAGTTTGATTCAGCAGATCATTAGTCATTGCAGAGTTACTTTAATGGATGCCAAAGTGTATTACTGGATAGTCCACATGCCTGTCCCATTTCACAGACCTGCCTTCATATCAGAAAGAAGGATGTTCATCTTCAAGTAGCAGTGCAAGCATGTATGTACAGCATTAGTCAGGACTTAAGCATACACGGAATACAGGGCTGGAGCGCTCAAAATGCCATTGGAGCTCCTTTCAGTTGCCCTGTTCAGTTCTGGCACCCCACTGCTGTGTATCATCTGCTCCACAGCAAGCTAAAAGACCTGGAATTGCTGTTGAGGATGTCAGTACAACACCCTGACCATTCCTATATTGTGTGCACTGAGGAACATGGAGTTCCGCGTTGCAGCTTAGCTCTGGGGGGATATGTGCCCTTCCAGGGAAGGATAACGAAGCTCGTGAAGGGTCTGGAACATAAATCCTATGAGGAGAAGCAGAGGGAGCTGTGGGTGTTCAGTGGAGAAAGGGAGGCTCAGGGGAGATCTTATTGCTCTCTACAATTCCAGAAAAGGCTGTGGCAAGGTGGGGGGTCTCTACTCACAGACAAGGGGAAATGACCTCAAAGTATGCCAGGAGAGGTTTAGGTTGGATATTAGGAAAAGTTGCTTCGCTGAAGGAGAAGTTAAGCATTGGAATAGGCTCCCCAGTGAAGAGGAGAAATTGCCATCCCTGGAAGGTATTCAGAAAACAAGTAGACATGGCACTTCATGATACAGTTTAAGGGGCATGGTGGTATTCAGTCAAAAATTATTTGATGATCTTGGAGGTCTTTTCCAACATTAATAATTTGATCATTCTGTGATTCTCCCTGCTTTGGTGAGGTACCTGCTTCTAAATGCTTCTTGTTTTGTTTTTTTTTTTTCTGATATAGAGGAATATGCAAATTGAACTTATAGAATGGTGTGCAATTGAAAGACCTATGGGGACTTTGTGAAGTTCTGTCTTTTGCACTTTGTTGCTGGTATTAACTCCCCATAGCACATTAATCACAGATGCATCTCTTAAGAAACACAAGGAGCTGCTGCTTTTCTCTGCCATTTCAACTTCAGTGTCCTGTAGCTGAAACTTCTCTTCCTCGCCTGCAGTCACTTGGGAGGGCCAGCAGCAGCTTATCTGATAAGGTGATTATCACCAGCAGGAGGTGGTGCCATCACGCAGTCTGGTTGATATCCTCCATCACTTATCTCTCTGTTGCCATTAACATTATCGCTGTCATGAGCAAGGTTATCCTGAGGCCATAATCACAGGTCCCCCCATTCCACTAATGAGGGTACTGTCTTTAGAGTGCTTTGGGATGTACTTTGATTCATTAGGAATGGGCAGGTCACTGAGGGCTCTGAGAAAATCCTTTGGTCTCTAAGTGCTCTTGCCATCCTTTGATTTTGCTGTTAAAGATGATGAGGAATTTCAAAACACAAAGACATCCCTGTTGCAGTTCCTTCAATATGCCCTGTAAAGTACTGTTTGAATTTTGTAGAGCTGCGAACTTACTGAGATTGCCTTATCTATGTGGCCATGCATAATGTGAAAGAAGGTGTGAAGTCTTTAGGAAGGTGTAGCTTCTTCTGAATTATCTTCATAGAGGGATAAAATTTTATTTGGTGTAAGGTCAATAGCACAAGGTACAACCTGAGCTTTGAACTTAAGCTGCATGTTTAATTGCTGGTTAATGATAGAAACTTCAACTCTAAATGAGTCAGAAGTGGTGGTGCTGGTTTACTATGGGAAAACACCTGCAACTAAATGCAGGCATTCCTTTTTTCATGGCATCTTGCAGTTATTTATGTTGCCAGCAACCAGGCTTGGAATTTCCTTGTTAATGAGGAGTATGTTTTTATTGCTGTTTGTTGACTCATGTTATGAAATGCTAACAGGTTGAGGGATTCTTGTATTTGATTTTAAAATAAGTCAGCTCATCTGAGCATTAAAAAGCAAGAAATGCAAATAAATTCAGCGAAATGTAGTGCAATGTCTTAGCTCAAACTCACACAGAATGACAGGACAGGGTGTATACCATGACAGCATCTCTTCATCTGGAATAAGGAATACTGTGGTGACAGTT